TTCTGGTTCACCCTTCTTTGGGAGTAGCATCCCTGTCGCTTTCAGCATCATTAGGAGTTGAGTGTGGTATTGTGTTATTGTCATTATTATTCCTACCATTGTTAGTAGTGATAGGAGAGATATTTGCAGAGCTGGGGAATTGAACCTAGGCCTCGCAATGTGCTAAGCATGGGCTCCACCACTGAATTCCCTGTCCTCCCTAGGCCATGGAAAGAACTTATTTCTTATTTTTAAAAATGAGAGGCACTGATGGGTTTTTAGCAGACAAAATCCTCCCCCGACAGAGTCAGATTCAGCTCTCCTGGGTGACCCCAGCAGCAGTGAGAGGGATGGAGGGGAGGGGTCAAGGCACAGCTGATCAATTGCCAGTGATGGAGGAGAAGCCTTTTCTTCTGCAGAGAGAGCTACTTTCTTCCACCCCAGCCTCCAGGTACAGTGTGAGAGCTCAGGTTTAGAGGAAGCTGCTCTCCACTCCTGAATTGGCCACGTGCAGAGTGCCATGGTGTCTTCTCTCCAATGAGTTTCTGGGGCCTGTGAGCGAGCAGTCTCTGGGTAAGTGGAGCCTTAATGCTGACACAGGCAGAGACCACCACAGGGAGAGGATGCACGAACTGTCAGACCCTTAACCTGTCACTCCTTAAAACAGAGATGCGAGCTGTCATGTGAGGCATTCTGGGACTTCAAAGAGGGGTTTCCCTGGAGAACACTTTCACTGGGGCCCACAGATGCCCACCAGGGAACTAACAGCAGAACAAAGCTTGACCTTTATTCTCTGTCTCTGTCTCCTTTATTACCTTTAAACTTTGGGCCAGGTCCTTTCAGTGCTGCATATAAGTGTGTTAATCATTAGGGTCAGTCAGTCTAAAAGCAGGCAAAACAAGATTCTTTAGCCCTGCATTTACGTAACTCACCTCATTCCCCTTCAAGAGTGGGGACACAGAGGTGAGATTTACAGTGCATTAAATCACTGATTAGAGCTCAGAAGTCTTCTCATTACCCTAAACCTGTGGTCACCTTGGATTCCAGCAGAGCTCTGTAAGACTGAAACTGCCCGAGGGAGAAATAGTCGTCTCATGGACACTGAATTGCCCACTCAAGCAATGAGGACCTCTCCAGAACTATCTTGCAGCAACCCAAACTGGGATAATAACCAACCAAACCTGAACCACCCAAGCAGACTCTTGGTCCTCTCCATCAGAGCCATGCCTGCTTCGGCTTCTCAAGCTCAAGTACCTCCGTGATTTCTCTTCCTTTCTAAACCTACCCAATAAATTTGCCTTTGCCTCTTACTGAACCATCCTGAAGGCTTCCTACCCGTTCTGTTAAAATGTACACTGGTCTCCCAGGTGTCACCCGCAGGCCAGGTATCTGTTAGCATAGGTCCTCTCATGGGGACATCTAAACACAAACCATAGGGTTATTACGATGTTTCAGGCTGCTTTCTGGGTGTTGCTGGCAGGATGTGGTTATGTAACTGGGTTTTGGGGTACGGGAGTCTCCTAGAGGAGGTTTCTAGATTCTTTCCTTCCTAAGCAAAGATTAGTCAAGAGAAGCGCAAAAGGTAGCCAGGCTTTACACTTATTAAAGGTAGGAAATGCTCTGCCGAGTGATTCTGGCCGAGGAGAAGAAGGAGAAAGTACACTCCATGGCAGTGGTGCTGCAGGGGCTGCTGTATCGCTGAGTGCACTGAAAGCTTCCCCATCACTGTTTTACCCAGTGAGAGCTGACCCCTGGGAGAGGGAGATCACAGTAGCTCAGTGGTCAGTGGCAACTATCTTTCATATCTCTCTTCTCAGGCTAACACCAGGTCTAGTCCATCTTCTGGAAATGACTCCAGTTTTAGAGAGAACAGTGGAAGACTGCATTCTGATTGGTTTCAGGGTTTTGGGAACCGTTCTTCTCATGTGTCCTGAACTCTGCAGTTGACTGGTCATGCCTGCTTCCCTGGCCACTCCTCCACGCCCTGACCTCCTGCCCCAGTGGTGGGCACTCATTTTCCCACAGCTCTCTTGGACTTCAGGTAAAGCAGCAGAATTTGGGGAATCCTACAAAACCTCATGTCCCTAAGGCTGTGTTCTGTCTCTCCATCTCTCCGCCTGCCTATCTTTTAAAAATGCCTGGGTTTGGCCGCTGTTTGAAAGCCTCTCAGTCCTCTTCTTTGCCTGGTGAAATGAAAACAAAACTATACTGGCAGAGCATTTTACATTAGACACAATTGGAGAAAACGGCCCACAGAGCCCAGGTCTAGTTTGAAAGCGCCTGGGCTGGGAGGTGAGAGCAGGACAGCAGAGGTGTCCTGGGTGTGGGCAGGGAGGGCAGGGAAGGGAACAGCCTGTAGGAGCTGGGGCAGCACCAGGATGGGCTCCAATGAGTTGATGGCCTCCTCTGTGTTTTTATCCCCCGCCCACCGTGTTTTGTTTGTTTGTGTTTTTTCAGTTGCTAATGATGCAGTTCTTTAGTGAGGTGCCTTTCTCGCTTTACCCCTTTCATCTTCCCTGTGCCTTCTGCGCGTAAGTTTTTCTCTAAGTTTTTACTGTTTTCCTGGCACCAACCCATTATGCATCTTTGGGTTGGAAATGACCCATCCTAGGAACAGGAATAAAGGTTTCTAGCTCATCCCTTTTCCCACTCCAGAGCCAGAAGCTGCAGACCAGTCAGTCTTTAGTGAGAAAACCAGGGCCTAGTCCACCCTGAACATGGAGAGCGGCCCTGGACTCATGCGTGGTTCTTTATCCAGCTGGACCTCAGAGACTCAGCCTTAGAGCCAGTTAGCACCAGAGCAAGCCTGTGAGGCCTCCTTCTGTTCCCCCAGCTCACAGAGGTGACACTCAAGTCCAGACAGGTGCCAGGGCATGGAGGACCTCACAAACCCCAGGAGGAAGACTCCATCCCAGTGTTGTTTTTCTCCTGGTGAGAGAAGGAAGCCCAGTAAGCAAAGCTGTTCTGGCCTCTTCTTGGCCATTATTCTAAGGACTTTGTGGGACCCTATGGGGCCCTCCAGACCCCTGTTGATGGTCTCAGGAAATCAAAGCTTGGGGATGGGGAGCAGCGATAGCAAAAGAGCTGAATATGCGGCTCTAGACCAGATGTTACAGAGGCCATGGGCCGGGCAAGGAGTGTGAAAGCAGGCAGCTACCCTGGGGCCAGGCGATGGGGAATATTGGGGTCTATGGCAAACTGAACCCCACATACCTTGAGGAGAAGAGGCTGCTTCTATTGTTCACAGCCCATGGTTAACAGAGGAGAAGAGCCCTGGGTAAATGCAAATCTGGACATTTTAAATGATAAAATCCAACTTGAGTATCCATTAAAGCATGAACCCCCAGTTGGTGAGACAACACTTCCTGTGTGGCTGGGGTTGAGGCTCTCTGTGGACCATGGCCAGCCCATGCCCCCAGAAGGTGGGCTGACCTAGGCTCAGTGATCTGGGTGAGGTGCTCGCATGCATGGTGGCTTCCAACGCTTCCTCTGCCACTCTCTTTCCATAACTTTCCTGCAAAGGCAAAGAAACTGCCCAGAGGAATGCTGTGGGGATTTTGTTTTTAGAGTGAAAGCTGAAACTTTTTATTTCACTCAGCCAGCAAGGGCTGGGAAGGATACTCCTGAGTCCAACAGGGACTGTTTTTTTTTTTTTTTTTTTTTTAAATCGGTACCAGGGATCGAACTCACGACTGCCTGCTTGCAAGGCAAGTACTTATGCCACTGAGCTAAATCCCCAGCCCCCAGACAGGGACTTTTAAAAAAATGCCCAATGGGCACAGGCTGAGAAGCTTTATTATTTTTAGGTACAGGAAACTCAGCGGTATGTATTTAACCTAGGTTGGAGGCAAACTCACTGGGCTTCCCTTTTCCAGGTGATGGGAAAGGAAAGGGTCCAGACCTTGGACCCAAGACATCACCTCAACAGGGATGGTGGCCTTCACAGAGTCTGTCATCATAGCTGGTCCTGGTAGTGCCCACCGGCCCAGCTGAGCACTGTACCCCCTGAGGTGGTGGGCTAAGCACCCCGGCCTGGTCTCCTCTTGATAACTGGGTGTGGAGCCTGTTTTACAACGGGTGACAGAAGTCAGTTCAATGGGTCTGTGTCACATGTGGCCATTGGCAAGTGGGTTTTCTGTTTTCAGGCAAGGTGGTGGAAGGGTTGTGATCTTTCCATGGGGGCATCTCCCTTGCCAGCTGCTGTCTTAGCCAGAGCTGGTAGTCCCTGCTCCTTCTCATGGTGGCCCTTTGGCCTATACTCAGTGTGCACAGTGGCATGGCCATCCTGTAGTTGGAGGTCTAGGTGAACTGGATCGTCCTGGGAAGCATTTACAGCTGCCAACGAGGTGAGCACTCGGCCACTGCAGCGGGAGGTGGCTGGGCTGTTCTATGGAGCAGTAAAGCCATCCAGCCCAGTGCCAGGATTCCCAGGTCTTTTCCCCAGCAGGAGACTCACCATCCTTTTGGCTTCCTTCTTCTACATGACAGCAGGGCTGACATCATCATCTTGCTCTCAGATTCTTGGCCAGCTAAACTGGAGGAGAGAGAAAAGCCAAATTAATTTTTAAAAAATAGCTTCTGGACACTGAGTGCTTACTACCTGCCAGGCACTATACACTGGACAGTGTGAGTCTCACAAAAACTATGGGGAAGAGATGTTATTATTATCCTTTCCTTTCTTAGATGGGTGAGGAAATTCAGGCTGAGAAAAGCAAAGCGCTTTGAGGGCATGCAGGAAGTGGCAGGTGTGCGCACACACAAAAGCCACATGTTATAGTCAGGCGCATAACACTTTCAGAAGGTGTTATATTTTGGATACCAGGCCATTTTCATGTTTTGCCCAGTTTTTCTGTAGTGACAGCTGTCCTTGGATGAGGGTGCCCTTCCCATGAACTGCAACTTCCTGGCCTGGGCAGTTGTGCTGTGACTTTATTCTTCTTCCTGGCCCTTGGATAAAGTGCTCAGGCTGGCAAACTACCCAGGTCACCTTTTGGCAGCCAGTAAACAGGTGGCAAGTGGGGAGCAGGCCTGGAACAGAAGTGAGGGCCTCTCCCTGTCTACCCTTTCCTTTAGGTCCAAGCTGACCTCCCTGCTGTCCTTCCTGCCCCTTCTCGCCACCAGAGGCAGGGCTGGCCTGCCATCCCAGCTCTCAGTGCTCTCTTCAGCTTGCACTGCTCTAGGCTGGGGATGGATGTGAAGAGGAAGCCTGCACCCTGCTGCCTGGAATCTGACTTCACGCTCCGAGTGTGACCTGGCACTCAGGACGGAAGGTCAGGCACATTTTTGCGCGGGAAGTACACTCTATTTGTTAAAGCAAAATCAATTTCCCATAGAGATCGTACACTTGCTGGGAACAAAAGTACCTGGAGTTAGGGATGTTATCAAGAGTATGCACTGCAGGCAAACCCTAGATGCTTTGGCCACAGAAAAGTGGGGGAGCCAGGCTCCTGGCCAGGATGACACAGCAGCGGAGGCCTGGTTGCGGCATTAGCACCATCACCGTGACTCAGCTTAGCTCCAGCTTGGCTGTTTTCCCTGATTCATCCCCATCGGTAGCTGAATCTGTAAATTTCTATTTCAGATTCCTGGGAGAAGGATGCCAGCCAGCCAGCACTGATTGAACTACTATGGACAGAGTATTCCACCAGAATGTATGGGGCTTGGTATGGTTTTACTATAATTCTGTTATCGTGGTTAAGATCAGGTGAGAATGTCTGCAAGGGGTGAGCTCACCCGAACACAGGAAGCATGCTTCTGCCATGAGCCTTGAGGATCTTTAGGGCTTTCCTTTTCAGTATGGGGCTCAAAGGCTTCTGCTCTGCAGTTTTGAACATTCAGAACGTTTAATATGATTTTTAAAAATCAGAGTGTGCACTCACTGATGCTAAAGTTGAGGAATACCCCCTGCAGGAAGGAGGAAAAGGTGAATTTGGAAGGGCTGAGGGGACAATGAATGAAGTTTCTACTCTGTCAAGACTAGGAACTCTCGGGATTGATACCAGGGTTTTATCTCAGATCGAGTCCTGGATTCGACTAATTTCTTCTGGAGGAAAATGATGATGAGCATGAAGACAGTGAGACATTTTTGCAGTCAGTCTCTGAAGCTGGAATAGTAGAGCCCCGTCAGGACGTGGTGGGGCCACCCAGGACAGTGGCTGGCAGGGAGCACAAGTTCAGAGTGACCACAATGACTGACAGTCAATCTGCAGGTGGAAAGAACCTTCAGCCTAGAGCTAAGAGCCATGTAAGGTTGGCACCTGAGGAAAAGACAGTGCCCCATGTCCCTAGGAGCAAAAAAGGGACCACACCAGAGGGATTTGGTGAAACAAGGACAGAGAAGCAGCTGGGATGGGCAGAATGTGCGCTGGGAAGGGGCGACCTCCACATGCAGTGTTAAACACGCTAGTGACACTGTGGTGCTTATTAATAAGAATCCCGGTGGGTGAGCACAGCTTCAGTAATTGTCTGTGTCCTTAACATGCTCCTTGGGCAATTTTAAAATATAGCAGAGCTGGGGAACCACTAGTTTAAAAAAATCATTCTGAGTCTGAGCTAATTATGTTCCTTGTGCAAATCAATGAACTTCTAGGTTTGTGATTTTCCTGAACCTGGAGGGTTGTAAGGAGACTGCTTCAGCATGGACTTACATGTTGGTACCCTCTAATGCTTCGTCATTATGATCAGCGTTTTAGGGTTTCCAGTTTCTGCCTGAGAAGGTGGGGGGGGGTCTCTCCATGGGCCAAAATCCAGAAACCGTAAGGACGTTGTCCTCCCCACTGGCCTTGGACGGTGGTCCTGCTACACAGAAGACTGTTTGTAGTTGAGGAAGGGAGACAGAGCTGGTTACTGACACCGTGGAACACTGTGTAAGCCATCCCACCAGCCTGGCGCCCATGAAGGGTAAGAGCTGGAGACCGGCCTGGGGGTTGTTTTACATGCAAAATAAATGATGCCTGTGAATTTGGAATATGCCAGAGCTTCAGAAGATCCTCGAAAAGTACACAATAGTGTGCTTACAGAAATCCAAAACCTCAGGGCACTTCCCCGGGCAAGGCTGTGATGTGTATTTTCTGTCCTTGGGGAAGGTGGGACAGGGCGAGCAGGGACTGAGCTTGCAGGACAAGGGTTCCAAGGCCAGTGCAGTGCAGTCAGGGCCAAGAGGATCAGAGGCCTCGGGGAGCTGCCCACTCTCCTGGGGCTCGGAGGACACAGATCCTCACGGACGGCTGTGCTGCTGGGAAGTTAGGGGGGTCCCAGTGGACAGAGGCTCCCTCACAGGAGACAGGCTGGGGCCTGAGGTTCTGCTTCATTCCCAGGAGGATTAAGAGGGCTGAACATGGGCTGAGGGAGCCTGGGTCCAAGTTTACCTTCTTTGGTCCAGATTCCCGCAGCATGGAGCAAGGGAATGTGCTGCTCCCTTCCTGGCTGCCCTCAGTTCCTGGGCTGAGAGAAGACTTCTGACCAGCCCAGGAGTAAGCCTACTTCCTCAGGAGACAGACGGATCCCGGTTCTCATCACCAGGATGGCTTGCAGCATGTTCCTCCTTGGGTCTCAGTCTTCCTCATCTGTAAGGTGGCATAACACACTGCTTGGGTGTGGGGACCAGCTTGACAAATGTCAGCCACTGTAATGAAACAGTGGGCCTCTCTAGAACAGAAACCACATTTCCCACCTCTGCTGATCCGCCTGGAGCAGCTTAACCCTGTACTGGTGTAGGGGAATGAGGGACTGACAAGGTGACCCAGATCTGTTTCTGTCTTCAGCCCTACAGTACATCCATTCATTCCTGCACCTGGTGAGACCCTGCATGGAGCTGCTGCATCATGTGAAGAAGGCAGATCCCAGCACTGCGGTGCCCACCTGGATGTGAGATGTTAGGGGTATTATTTAGTCTCTTTGGGCCTCCTTTCTCTCATTGGTTAAGAAAGGTAACATCTCTTACTTTCTAGCAAAGGTTTCAGGAGCATGGGAATTTGTGCTAAGTGTGGAGACAGCGGCTGGCTCTGTAAGTAGTCCAGTATTAACGACCGTAGTTATGTGAGTATTGGGGGTCGCAAACAGAAATACTCTTGGAGACCAGGCATATGGTATAAACAAACAAATGGAGCAATCTGGGTGTAGGCAAAATCATAGCGCAATCTTGTGAGGAGCTCTTGTTGACACTGTTCCAGGTCAGCGAGCCATCAGGGAGCAGAGGGCTGTGGTGAGCTCTGCCTATAGGGCCAGCTGCTTTGCCGGAGATTGTTGCCGTGTGAATGCAATTTTTCTAAAGAGTAATAGTGGTAATCCCAGTTTTTAAATGAATTCCCTTGGTTGTTAATTACTGGCTAAATTATTCCATTTTTCCTTTCCTTATTTTTTCAGGGCAAAGTAAGGACTCATTCTCTGAGCTATGTGCCCTTACCCTATTGTTTTAAAATCATGGTGAGCACACAACCCAAATGTTTCCAGGTCCAGTGTGGTTGGTCAGTTCACGACTTTTACTTTAATTGTCTGCTTTCTGCTTGGATTCTCTTTCATTTGTAATTTTTCTTTCTTATATCACCAGTAGGTTCATTATGCACTTACTGAGGGTTGATTGTGTATCTGGGGCTGTGGGCTTTAAAAAGAGGGTGTAAGATAGGGGCATCCTTCAGCAATCAGTGCTCATGGCTCTGTGTTCCCATTCACGCATCTGTAGCGTTGCACAATTCTACAAGTTCAATTGTGTCCACCCCTGCCCCCAACTCCACCCAAAGGACTGCAACATAATCCTAAGGACCTGGAAACATAATCTTATTTAGAAATCGAGTTTTTCTGCAAATGATCAAGTTAAGATGAGGCCATTAGGCTGAGTCCTAATCCAGTACAACTCTCTCCTTTTGAGAGAGAATTTTGAACAGAGAGCCCTGTATGCGTACACAGGGAGAGCACTAAGAGAAGCTAGATAGGAAGTTTGCCATGAAGCAAATGAGAAACGCAGGAGCCACAAGTTGCCAGCAAATCCCTGGAAGCTGAGAGACATGAGCAGGTCACCCTCAGAGGCTTCAGAGTGAACCCCACTCTCAGCCCTCAGAATTTTGACACAGAACATTTCTGTTGTTTAAACTACGCAGGTAGTGGCAGGTTGTGATAGTCGCCCAAGCAAAGTAGTAAGCAAAATATATGTGTCGCCTGTACACACAGTTAGACATACCATTCTCTGCATTGACTTTGTTTCTCCATCTGCAGCTTCTGGAAGATGTGAATGCCAACCTATATGCTTGTGAGTATTATGAATTCAGACTCCTAGTGACCTTGCTGCCTGCCTGGAGCAGAGTTGAATGAAAGAAGAGAGAACGAATGAATTAAAGAGACAAGTGAACCTGGAAGCTGACCTTACTATTAAGTCCATCTCTGGTGCAATGGACTTGATGTGTTGAAATCTGAATGTCCTGATGAGCTGGCCGGCACTGCCCTTTCCTTCTGTGTCACCTTGGCCATGTTTTCCCAATATTCCAAAGCTAAAATGAGGATTTCCAAAGCTAAAATGAGGATATAATGATCATCCTGGGAAGGTGATTGTGATGATTAAATATGGCAGGGCTCATAAAGTGCCTGGAAAACAGTGCTTGAGCCCTAGAAGAATCTCGATAAATGACAGCCACTGCTGTGAGCTGGAATCGCACCTGTTGGTGATTCACCAGGCCTCTGCTTGGTCCTTGTATGAGTATGACATAGGCAGTGGCTTCTCAGCACAGCACTGACATAGTTGAGCAAGAGAGGAAGGAGGCTGGAAGAGAGAGGCAGGGCTCTGCAGGTTGGTAGGGAAGCCTCAGAAGCACAGCAGCCTGGAGAAATTTATCACAGAGGCGAAAACCTCGGTGCACCTTGGCCCCCGACACAGCCCTACACATAATAGTTCAGCCTGGTAATCAAATTTGAACTGTGATGATCTTGGCTTGATGGAAAACATATTCAATTATATTCTAAGGGCTCTTAGGAAAATAAGGAAAGCGGAAAGATGTTTTAGAAAGATTGCCATGAAAATGTAGGAACACACTGGCGTTAAAATGAGCTAAGTCTTCAGTCATGGAGATGGTGTGCTTGGGATACACAGGCTCCATCTTCTTCATCTCTGGCAAGGAAGCGAGGTGCTATTTTGTGGGCGCAGCCTGAGCTCTCACCCTGCAGGTGCTGCTAGCTTTGGGAGAGAGGTGCGCAGCTGCTGAACACCCGAAGTCTCTCCCCTCCCCCGGGGCCAGCCAAGTTGAGACTTCAGTGCTGCTCTCACACTTTGCAAATCCACATGGTGGCTTGAGGACAGACGTGAGGGCCGCCCAAATTCAGACTCTCTGCCCCCCCCACTGACATTTTAATTATGTGCAACTTTTCTTTGTGCTTGTGAAATACAAATTTATTTAAAACTGCAAATTTATTTAAAAGATTATTTATTTGGATTTCAATATTTAGATTATTTGATTTTATTTACATATTTGGATATTATTTAAATTTAGATTTAAATTTTATTAAAAATAGAAATTTGTTAAAAAGATTTGTTAAATGGAGAGCAGCTATCTGTCCTTAAGTGTTTTTCTCAATCAACGAACAGAAAAGTCAGAGGCTTGTGAAAATTGACTCAGGTTTGGAATTCTGTCTTGCATAAAATTCTCTGCATTAGTAATCACAGTAATGGAAATACTCCTTGGTAACGAGGTGCATCCACTTTGTGAGGGGTCCCTTCCAAGTATTACATCATGTAACTCTAGTCACAATCCTGTCACAGATATAAGGTTCCCCCTTTCATGTGTGAGGGAACAAGGCCCAGAGAGGTTTCCCTATGGGGGAATTGGGCTGTTAGTTGTCCAAATGAATAGCACTAAAACTCCTGACTGATTGGGAGCCATCGCTGGCTACAACTGATTTACTTAGATTGAAATGTTATTATCAGATCATTTGCATATTCTGAGATTGGGTCCTTCCTGAGGCCCAGGAGACAGTTGAGCTGGCTTCGGTGGGGAGCCAGGACCTTTCTTTCTCCTTCCTTTCCACCCTGGCTTGCAGTTTGCGCAGGTCCCAGGAGAGCAGGGCAGGCTGATGGCTCGGGTTCCCACAGAGTGGGAGGGCAAGGAGGGCACAGAGGCCCCTCAGGAGCCCGGGTGTCTGCTCAGCCCTCCAGAACCCTGTGCAGGTGTGAGGCAGCCCAGCTGGCTAATGAAGCTGAAGCAGCAGTAAGGAGCCCAGGGAGGAAATCAAGATATCTGTTCCCTCAGCTCCTCAGCTGGCTGCTTGGTAAGAACGACCCCTTCTCCTGGCACAAGGGCAGCAGCAGATGCGGCATGGGTGGGTGGTAGGAAAGGGCCAGGGTGGGGGCCTCTCTTCTTCTCATAGGTGTATACTGCAGAACCCTGCTTTTCACTTCCTGTGTGCATTCCAGACTGGGTCCATCTGATGTTCTTTTCAGCCAGTGGACACAGGTGGCAGCTTCCCTGTCTGTCACTAGCTCATTCCTTTTTGTCATGTGGGGTGAGCTACTCCCACTGCCCCATCCAAGGGAGGAATCGATGTCATGGTCTGGGTTCTTGAGGGAGACAAATGGAACACAGTTTTAGCAAAACCACGCATGTGACCCCGCAGGCTTGGGTGTCTTGAGCAGCATGGGGTCACTTCCTCTTGGGTATAGCTGATGTGAAAAGCAAGCTCAGAAGCCACCCTTCCTCTGGGTCCTGGTGAATGAAGTTAGAAGCTGAACACACACATTCACCACCAGCTCAGGGTGTGCCCAGCTCCTACTCACCCAGGGGAGCTGCCTGCTCACCCAGGTGTGCACAAGAAGGCGGGAAAAGGGAACAGACGTTCACATCCCTGATGCTTACCGGGTCCATTTCAGCAGGCTGAGTGTTCCGGTCCTTTTTGTTTTTCCTGTAGTCCATAATGTGAAATGCTATTTATGGAGTGCTCAGCCACACCCGTTGTTCTGTTCAGAACCTTTTCTTCCTCACCTATTTTTATATCCTTTGCAGTTCAAAGGCTGCCTGGCTTCAAGCTTGCCTCCTCACGCTCAGGCCAGTATGTAACCTCAGCCCATGCCACCATTGCGGTGCTAACCCTCGCTTCCTGTTTTGTGTCTTTTGAGTTAGCATCACCCACCTAATGATGGCTAATGACACCCGTTTCCAGGTTAGGAAACTAAGCTTTGTTACGGGGAGTAAATCCAGCAGCGCGTTGTCCCCCAGCAGCTGCTGCTGGAAATGCTGCTTCTCTGACTAGAGAGCCACATAAGATGTTTCAGGACAGCTGCTTCTGGGACATCTGACTGTTGCAGTCACCTTGGTGTCCTCAGTACCTGGACAGTCGCCTGCAACAATGGTTGTTGGACAGGTGGATTCTAAGACAACTGCTCTGCCCAGTCTGCCCCAGGTAGACAGGAAGACCTGGGACTCCAGGAGGCATCCCACCCCAAGGGAATTTCCTTGCTGCCGCAGAGCTTCCGGCCTGGGCTTTGCTGCCTGCCATGTAACTCCTTATGTGACAGATATGCAAGGAAATCACTGAAATAAAGGCATGCCAATGAAATAAAAACTCATCCAAGTTTTATGTGTTTTAATCTACAGAAATACTTGGAAGTCACTGTAATTTAATGTTCCCACCAAGGTCCAGAAAATGTGCAAGTGTATTTATTAAATCTAAATCAGATTTCCACACCTGGTGTGCTTCGGTGATGTTCTCTGTCACAACACATCAAAAGGAAGGTGTTTTACAAGAAATGGAAGATGAAGGAACATTGATTCTCTGCATAACCCAGAGGCTACTACACCTGAGCTCCAAGGCAAGTGACAATTTACCTTTTGTTTTTCTTAGTTTTCTTATGCTCTATTAGCAGGGTCAGCTTGCACTCTTCCTGGGATCTTGTTTGGGATGTGACCTAATCCTTTCTGGGCCTTTTTCTGGACAGAGATCTCTTTCTACCCACCATAAGGGCCCCCTCTGTGTTGTCAAAAAAAAAAAAAAAAAAAAAAACAACAACAACAACAGTAAGTAACTAAGGTGACTCCATGTTCTTCTGATTTGGAAAGAAACTTTTCAATTCACATTTTAAAGTCTCTAAACTGACTTTAAAATTTTATGTGTTTACCTTAAACAGCGTGAGCTTCTAATGGTTGGATACATTCATTCTAGGGTGGCTCAACCCAGCTATCATTTGTATCACCTTGAACACTTAGCATTTTCTTGTACTGAGAACACTCACCATCGACTCCGTGATTTCCAGGCACTGAATGTCACACGTTGTTATTAACAGTTTCGCCATGTTATATATCAGAGACTCAGCACTGATCCCTCTTGTCAAACTGAAATTTTGTGCCTCTTGATCATCATATCCCCAACCTTTTCTCCTCCCCCAACCCCCGTGATCATCATTTCTACTTGTATAGTTCAACTTTTTAGATTCCACAGACCACTGAGATACAGTATTTGCTTTGCTGTGACTGATTTATTTCAGTTACTATCATGCACCCCAGGCTCATCCATGTTACTGCAAATTACAGGATCTCCGTCTCTGCTGAGGCTGACTACTATCTAACCTACCTACTCATCCATCTGTCTCTAAATGAGTAGGTGTCACAATTGTGTCCTCTCATTCCCTGGTGGGCATTGGGGGTGATACTGTGTCTTGGCTATTGTGAATAATGCTGAATAAACTGTACAGGACATGGGAGTGGAGTTCTCTCCATAACACATTCATGTCATTTCCTGTGTAACGTTTGGGTCACACGTAGAGAGTGCTGATCTCTCATTGTGCTCTCAATGGGGGTATTAGCCTCGGACACCCTCATTTTATGTGACTCTCCAGCAAGTCATTAGGCTATCTTCCTTTTCCTTTGAGAGAAAGCATACTGAAATCTTACCTTCACAACTGCTAGAGAAGAGAGGAGAACGCAGAGCAGAAGTGTACTCTGCTTGGTGAGTGATGCGCTTCTGACTCTAAACAGCACCACCCGAGTAGGAGGCGGCCTGAGTCCTACAGCTTCCCGCTATGTGTCAGCCCACATCTCACTCCATAGTACACTCATGCTCATTTTAGCATAGAATGATGCTCTTCCCCTCCATCCAGAACTGACAGCCTGGGACACTGTGTACTGGTGACTCTTGGTGTCAGCTGTCTGTTGCCACTGTCCTCTCCTCATCCTCAGAAGCACAGGCATCTGAGAAAGCACTGCACGGTGACTGATGCTCCATACATCCATGCTTATCTCCAGAATAAAGGCTGCAGAAGTCTCCATGTGAGGACCTTGGAGGACACCTGTCCAGCCATGCCCTGCCCTGTCCTGCTGTTCCTCTGCTTTCGTGGTCCCAGCTGCTCCCGTGGGACTAGCCACTTCCAGCTCATTTGAGTTTGGCAGCCTTTCCCCTGTGGGTCCTGGACTGACTAATTGGCCTTCTCTGTTGACCACTGAAGCCACAGGGTACTGCCAGGCCAGCACTTTCCCATACGAAGCCAGGCTGGCCTTACCCCTGTCCTTCTCAACACTGCAGACTGGGCTGCCTCTCCAGGGTCAGGGCCTGTGAGCACTTGCAGGTGGGGGATGTCAGGTGTATTCCCACGTGGGCTGGAGGGACAGGGTGTGGCTCCTGTCTGGGGTCAGTTACTATTTCCTTGGGTGATCCTTGGAAAGACTCACCAGTATCGAGGGTAAGTTAGGGGGGGCAGGAATGGATAACTCAAACTACGACCATGATTTTGTTGCAAAAATATTACTTTTGATGTCTAACGTGATCTTCTGGGCTAAAGGAAATCATGGATGCTCAAAAAGATTGAGGTCAGAATAAGGTGGTTCTTCTCTCTTGATTGTCATAAAGTTCCCTCCCAGTGTGTGGAGACAGGAAACACTCCTGCTAGCACTCATCTGTTTCCCTAACTTTCGCCAAACCCATTAATGAGAGACCCCAGTCCTTGCTGAGAGCTCACAAGTGTCCCTGGGCAGTTCCAAGTGCAGCCTTCTGAGCCCCAGCAAGCCTGCTCAGCCCTATGGCTTGCACAGGCCATGCTGCATTCCTGCCGAGTGCGTTGCACCTTCTTCTGGACCCTACCTCATCTCCTACAGATCACTGCAGCCTCCCTCCCTCTCTGGGTACTAGATTTCCCCTGCATCACCTCCAGTGTCCCCAGAACTTTCCGGGTGCTGAGCACCACCATCTGTGGCGATGTTAGGGGAATTCTCTCTTCACTTTGTGCTTCCCAGAGCAGTCCTGGCTGCAGCTGTAGCCTCAGAGAAGATTCCCGTGTAGAGAACTTTCAGCTGTCACCCTGCATCCCCTCTGCCTGGGCTCAGGCCAGTGTGAGGTCAGCTTTGGGTAGTGAGTCCACACCAGTATAGGTCTGAAACCTGAAGCCTGATTTTCTTTATTAGTAGAGAAAGTTCTCTGTTTTGGTGAGACAAGGTCTTGCGATGTAGTCCAAGTTGGT